AGAAGGCCTACAACTCTATCAGAGCTTCCTGGGCCATTACTAGCAATGGTTTAAACAGGGGTCTCCTCTTCTAGACAACCTGAAAATTTATTATGTGTAGGTCTTTCTCCCCCGCGGCACGACGTTCTTTGAGTTCACCAACAGCTTTATGTTGTTTTATCCTGTCCTCAGGAGACAGATCTGCCCGCATTGAGATATTGATGCCTTCAAGTCTCCAACCACGGGTCAGCAGTGTTTTTGGAATGTGGTCGGACTGAAAAACCGCCTTTAGTGGTCTAGGCCGTCCACCTTCTGCAGGCTTTACACCTAGTCTAAAAAGGCTTACAATCGATACCTGTCCATCACTTGGGTCCAGCATTTTAAGGGTGATTTTTGTTATTTCCTTAGAGTCGTATTGAACACGTGTTTCTGCATCTACTCCTTCGGATTCTGGCACATTGAAGAAGAGAAGTAATTTCTTTCTATCAGTTGGATCGTTTGTTGCTTTTGATGCCTTAGATACCGATGCAGAAACTTTCTAAGTAGAAGCCTTCGGCACTCCGTGTAGCTCGACCCTCTTATTTACGGGTTTCGCTGCCTTTGTACCTAGGACTTATAAGACTGCTTTAAGTCATCCGGTACTGTTGCAGTGACTACCGTAAAATGAAACATCTTCTGATGCTTGGTGCGATTATAGAAACGAGCTCGCAAATAACCCTCGGATTCAGATTATCAGGTCCAGCGGCCTTAGTAGGTATCAATCTACTTAATGCATTCTCGACATCTCCAATGACAATTATTATGCTGCTTTCAGTTTGCTCACGGATGTCGAAGTCTTCATTGTTGGGCATTGGTGACAAGTAGACAGTGGAGTATTGTTCAGCTAGGAGTTCAACCATACATAACTCATCTTTTTGGAGCACACCATCTGCATTGTGGAGACCTTGAATGCCAGGGAGTTCACGACATTTTCTTTTTAAGAAGGAATAAAATCTATTTGGCCGTGTGTCGAAATTTCGCACCAGGTCTTCATACGCTACTTTCTTTGACCCCATGATACGCTTGCATTCACCTCTAATTGTTTTGTATGTCACTTTTGCTTCGACTGTTCTCAAGATCATAAAGACCCTGAAGCACGTTTTCTTGCCTTCATCTTGCATCTTGTCTCTACATCGATCCATTGGGGGCGACCTGCTGCCCATCCACAGAGCTTTAGTGGGACCAAGCCGTTGTAGGGCTGCTCAATATTACCACGGATCAAACTCCAGCGTTATTTTATATTGGCAAAGCTATGCATGGCTGAACTCCTAGCTGAACAATCGACCTTAGCAAGACATTTGATAAAGTCAATCACGTGCTCCTTCCGACCAAACTCAGTAATACGAAAATTCCAAGATCTGTATTCAAACGGATCAAAGGCTACCTAATTCAGTACATAATGTCTGGTCAAGGTGGGCGGAGAACGTTCCTCTGCGTTTTAGGCTCGCAGTTCCGTACCCCAACGGTCGGTGCTGGGTCTCAGACTATTCTCTATATACGTTGA